CGACATCCGACTCCTGTGTTTCAGTGCGTTCTGTATGGCACGGCTGGCTGCACGCTGAGAGCCCATCCATGGACTTGGAAGCTAAAGATGAAGAGGAAGAGAGTCTGCAAACGGCTTTCAAAAAGCTGAGAGTGGATGCAGCAGGGTGAGTGAAAGCCCCGCGTCGTGTCTCAGCGTCTTTTGTTTTTGGCTTCTGTTATTTTGCATCTCAAAACAAACGTTGTTTGGCAGAAGGTTTGTTGCTCTGCAAGAGACGACTGCATCGCTTCAGATGAAATGCACTCATTGCAATTAATAGGCAAAGCAGTACTTTATTTCTGGCTAATTTTAACATGATAGCCAACTGAAATTACACAATGATTTCATAAAGTGGCTTGCCCAAAGCAGTAAACCCACTCTTAACTTGTGGTAGCCATAGTGATATGTGAGTCGTTTGGCCACTGGTGTCTTCAGCCGTGTTATCAGCATTTGCTTTAGTGGGTGAAGATTTGCTTGGGAAGTGTCCACAGGACAGCACAGGACTTCAGAGCGTGCTGGGGAGCCCAGTCCCACTGGAAATCATCAGGCTTAATATGAGCACTGACCGTTTATGATTTCAGGGGATTTTGTAGAGTGAAACATCTACAAACTTTCTTATACTAAAAACCTATTCTGTGACACTCCAGGTGTACTGATAACATGGAGTACAAGTATCTTCCTTAAAAGTAGGAGTTAATAAAACTATGCAGTCTTAACATTTTGTGAGATAGTTCACTTGAAGTTTTTTGGGAATTCAGAAAGAGAAAGCTTTGTATCGATAATTAATGTTACCTTGTGAATTCATCTTCACAGCCATCCATGCTGCAAACTCATTACTTTGCATGCTAAAGTACATTTTACGTTGCTACTCATTTCTTCTACTTCAGGAGGTCTTCTGTTAAATGTGGGGAAAAAACAGCTGCGCTCTAACAAGGAGCTACTTACTAAGCATACCACTTCTGATGTACTATCAGTGACAGACTGTGGAATTCTGGTTGATTCCTAATGACATCTTTCTTAGGCATAAGAAGATCTTGTTTTGCAGGCATGTGCTTTGATCAGCTCAAGTCTTCTGACTAATCCCTTAAGATCAACTTTGGGCAGAGCACTTGGGCTCTTCCGCTAGAATTTCAGCTTTATTTCTTATGATTTCCCATCCAATGTTCCAAATCACACATACAGCATCATAAATGCAGATTCATGTGCTGAGGCATTTAGGTTGTCTGGCCCTGCTGTGCATGTTTATCCGGGAAATTTAATGAGAAATAAATAGGTAATCTGTTCTGTCCATTGTACCTCATCCATTTCTCCACTGACGACTCCTCAGGCTGCTGTTATGGGTTCCCAACTTTGCATTTTAGATGAGCAGGAATCTATCTTTAACAACTATTGTCTGACAAGAACATTTGGAACCTGAGTTTACATTCCTTTAATGTGTCATTTTGGTACAAATAGGGCATGACATCAGCCTCTGGGCATTTTGGCCTGCTGTCATTTCATCTCACCTATCTTTAGACACTTCACTGAGGTCAATATAGTAAGAGTGGTGAGAGAAATCTGTAATATCCTGTTTCTAACCACTCACTATAATGGAATTCAAGGCTCCAAACTTCAAATGTCTTAGCGAAGCATCTAAAGTGAATAGGCTGATTCTAGACCTCCAAAGTGTCATGTTCAGGCATTACTATAATGTGGCATTCCCGTTTTTACTCAGATGTATTGCAGCTCTGTCTGTGGGTGATGGGACGATGCTGAGAACACCAAGAGCAGCTGTGGATGGAGCCAAGCAACAGGCTGTCTGCTCAAAGGAAGCGTGGCATGGGTAAAACACTGCTCAATGCGCCCTGCTTGTGTTTCTGGGTTGGGACATTTAACACCTGAATACTGTTTCCAGTGCATGTTGTTGTTAATTAATTGCTTCAACAGATCTCTCCTTTCATTACAAAACTTTACCGTAACTGTTTGTTATGGTGTTTTTTAAGATGATTTCAACAAAGACTTTACAAACAATATTACCTCTTAGAGACGGTACCTAAAACTTTCTTGTCCACTGATTTCCTCAGAAGTTCTTTTGTTCAAGTCTTACACCTTTGCAACCCCCTCTCACCTCTTCCTTGGGTTATTTTATTTCTGTATTGAAGTACCTGGATATTCAGGATTCTACCAGCAGCTCCAACAGGTATCCAGGTTCTGCACTGCAATTCAGTTGGGATGAGAGAGTATTGTTTGCTTAACAGAGAAGATCTGGGGGGGAAGTACCTTTAAATAAGGGCTCTTTGTATGTGTATTCTTTGAGGGAGCCCAGATTTCTTCAGCCTTCTCAGTGTTCCTGTCAGAGATTGAGTGACCAGTCCCCTGAGATTTCTAAGCAGAAAAAAAAAAGGGAAAAAAACATATTCTAAAACATTTTTAGCCACAGTTTATAGCTTATTGAGCTATGTGTAGAGTCTGGAGTTACCAAATTGCTCGCTTGTTATCACCCTGCAGGTGTGTGAGAAAGCCTTCCAGAGGATCAGCCAGAGTCCCACGTCGCAGGCGCTCCAAGTCTCCCGTCCTGCATCCTCCCAAGTTCACTTATTGCAATATGAAAGCCAACAACCAGCTGAAACACAAAACCCAAGCAGACGTGTCAAAGGGTGGCATCAGCTCAGACATTTTTGTCCCAGCAGAACATGGTACGAAGGACAGGCACGATTCTCACTTTGAGGCCAGTGATGACGGAACTGAACCTTTGGAAGCTTTCACCGCTGAAGAGCCTTTGGAGAAGTCAAGAGGGAATTGTCCTACTCTGTCCTCATCCTTTGAGACTAGCTTGCATTCTAGCCAAACCTCAGATTTCCAGTCCTTATCCCTGCTTAGCAATGGCAAGCAGTGCCCTTGTACGGACAAGAAATGCCAGTGCAAACAGTGGCGAACCATGGAAGTGTACTCCTTCTCTGGCTTACGGAGCGTCCTGTCGGAGTGCGAGAAGGCAGTCCTAGGAGTCCACACCCAGTCTCTTCAGAATAGATCCCCTTGTGGGACAGCCTCATCAAGTTCTCCTAGGTCTTGTTCTGAGCAAGCTCGAGCCTTTGTGGATGACGTGACTATTGAAGATCTCTCGGGATACATGGAATACTACTTATATATTCCCAAGAAGATGTCTCATATGGCAGAAATGATGTATACTTGACTGAAAGCTATAGAGAATCCTGAGTCAGTTTGTGACAATGGTTGGGTTACATGCCTTGTCAGTGCCATGTTTTCACTGTTGTGTGTTTGATCAGATATTTCTTTGCCTCATACAGTTTAGTTTTCTAATAAAATGAAAAATGGTATATAGTTTCTGAGCTTAGTTCTGATAAGAATGCACTAATGCCTGAATACATTAACAAAAGCACTGTAGATCAAATAACTCCCCTTGGTTTTGGGTTAGTGCTGTGGATATTGAAGCTCTGTATTGCTGTTTTCACTATGTTTTTGAGGGGAAGAAGAAAAGGCCTTTTTTTTTTTTTCCTGAAATTTTGCAGTGTTTGGAAGGTTCATTTTAATGTGTCCCAGTACTGAAGAGCAATGTTTCATAGCTACAGCTCTATCCTCATCCTGCTCTAGGGAGAAGAGTGAGAAGGCATTCAGTATTTTGCATAGGATGAATCTCCTTTCCTCAAACACTACCTGGCTCGGTTTTAGTTGGATCCCATTGTGAATTCCTCCTCCCAGATGTGTTGGGAGGTCCATAACATGCAGGTGTGTGCTTGGACCCTTCCATAATTTAACTAGCTCACTCTTAAGCAGTTCTATTTTTCTGCAGATAAGCAAAGCTCTTAGAAGCAAGAATATATTTTGTTATTTGTGCTTTACAGATGGAATAATTTAGGGGGGAGTGAAGCAGGTTTTTTGGGCCATGCTGTCTCAGAATTGGAGATGGAGCCATCTATAGAGATTGGTTTTGAGGATGTTTGATACACAAAGCAATGTGGAGAGGGGATAAAGAAGTGTGTATCATACAGGCTTTGTGGTGTAGAGCTGTAACATTCCTTCTGGTTGAAAATGTTGAAAATTTCTGAAATAAAACATTTTGTTGCTGAGACTTGCATTAATAAATGTTTGTCAAAACCCAGCAAATTAAAGACTGAATAATTTGACTTACACTCATGTCTTCTCAAGACCTCTTGAGAAGAAACAACCCACCCTAAAGTGTGCTTTCGGTGCCAGCTGTACACACATGATAAACAACTGTGTTTGAATAGTTTGAATAGAACAGTGCAATTTTTACTTACATGCTTAAAACCATGGTCAGCAAGCCAAGGAGTCACAAGCAGTTGTACAAAAATAGATTTGAAGAGATGTAGACAGTTGGCCTTGTGTCCTGTGCTAGAGAAGTCTTGGACATTCTAGTTGGTAATTGCTGTCTGTAGATTTTACTCTACTCATCCCTAAAATTTACCCTATGAATCCAGGAAGCTCAGATTTAAAGTTCAAATAAATCCAAGTAAGTCAATATAAGAATACAACGAAAGCTGTTGTTTTGTTCCCAAGTGTCATGCAGTTACTGAGCACGCAATGTTTGCTCATACTCTCAAATTAAATTTAGCTGATTTCTAAATTTTCTTGCATTAGCACTTCACTGTCCCCTTCACCTGCCTCTTCCAGCGCTGTTGTGCGCACCCACACACGCACAGTTCTGGGCTTCTTTGCTTTCCCTTCTTTCTGCCTACAGAAATTCTGGTATAATACATACTTTCCTTCTAAATGTAAATATTTAGTACTTGTTATCTTTGCTGCTGTTATTCAGAGGCTATTTCTGCTTCAGCAGTGTCTTCTGCTTGTGTTTCTGTTTTGGTTTTTGTGCCCTTTTAAAATCATTTGAAGATATTGTTGCTAGAAGCAATCTTTCTCCCTTTTAGATTAATAATTACCCTGCCTCTTGATGAGCCTTTATGTGGAACCTGTGCCTTTGAAGCTGATCTTTAACATGCACAAATACAGCTACTGACACCCGGTGTTGGATGTCCCCCCTGCAGCCAGAGCCCTGCGAAGGGGTACAGCCGGGCACTTCCCTTGCAATGGCTCAGCATTGCCTCAGTGCTGCTATTTCTGCTGTGGAGCATAATCTTCCTTTCTCTTTACCAAATTATACCCAAACCACTGGCAGCATCTAAACCTTCAAGCTGCTGTTACATAGAACTAGTAGTGATCAGCGCCGCTGGAAAGGCACAAGGCTGGACACCATGCAACAGACCTGCCTGTTCAGAGAGAGTGGGGGAACTGGGGGAAATCGTACTTGTTGGACTAGTCCAAGATAGACCTTGAAGTTTAGGGCTGAGAAGTGAATTCAGGTTGCTAGAAGGCCAGATGGGAGGGCACATTTCTGTAGGGTCCTGTGGAGGACAGTGGTAAGTGGGAGGGGGAAAGTAAAGGGAGGGAAAAAAAGAGATGGTGATGCAGTGGGTTTGTATTCTGCCTGAATTACCATTTGTGCTAGTGTATAAGCAGCTCTAGTGCTGCCTGCAGCAGAGGAAGGGCAGATACTTTGGGTTCTTGACTCAAGTATCAGGCTTGAAGCAAACATACTGGAATATTGCTACCAATATTCACATTGCTCAAACCACCTCTCTGGGGTGAAATGACGAGCTCTAAGCAAGGCCCAAGCCCAAACATACCGTTTCCTTCAAAGCCTTCAGCTCCTCAGAGAACACAGTGACTCCTGCTTGCTGCCTGCCTGACACCTCAAGCTTTACTAGCAAATAGACAGATTCTTCTCTGGGAATGCTGGCACAGCACAATTAGATTGACTGATGAGCACCAGCGCTCGGCCTTAGAGCTGGTCTGGTACAAGCAGTGCTGAGCACAACTCCACCAGCTCTACTGCCCCCCGCCTGCTGCTGGGCTGCCCCAGCCAGCCTGGGGTATCTTTTTCTGCTCACGGATGCTGTAGGATGCCCCCAGTCAATCCACACAAGCATATGTCTAAAGTATTCTGAGAAAGCACTGCTGGGCTTACTGCACTCCCGCTTCCCTTTCTACTTCCTATCTCAGATGATTCAAGCTGTTTTGTTTTCCATTATAGTGGCTTCCCTCAGCACTTCACAAGCCTACTTGTCTAGTTTCAGGACTAGTTCAACCAAAGCGGGATGCAGAAGTGCACCCTGGAGCAATGAAGTTTATTTCTTACCTTAGAGAAGCCAAACCGAGTCCCAGCCAAGCTTTACGTTGGCAGATGCTCAATCAGGCCACTAGGAAAAAAAAGAACTAAACAATTAGTGGAGCTGATTCTACAGCCCGAGTTCCACCCTCTCCTAAACCAGGGAAGGTGCTTCTGTGCCTGCAAAGTCCTGTCACTGACTCCAGCCACCTGCTCTCTCTTCTCTGTACATCATTTACATCAGCTCTGAGATGAGACACCTCAGATTGTGTATTTCTGAACCACCAGCACCCACAATCCTGCCCCAATGGCACCTTCTGCCAGGGCTCTGCCAATGCCACTGAGTCCAACCACACAGCACCCCATGGGGCAGACCAGCACCAGCCCCTTCCACAGGCAGCAAGGCTGTGGACAAGAGCTGGGGTGGATCTCAAGGTCACACAAGGTCAGGACACCCACTAAAGGGGCTGGCACCCATCCTGCCCCTCAAGCCTTGCTCAGTTTAACAAGCCAAAACCCAGCTATATAAACAAGCACCTCCAGTGGCACCGCGTACCTGTGGGACCCAAAGGGATGAAGCCACTTGTCATTTTTATTCCCAACAGCACAGCATCAATTCATCACAAAATATACCACTAGATGGGGCTTTCTGGACAGCGATTCGCAGGAGAGAACCACTTCTGCTTGGTCAAGCTGCTCCTTTCCTTTTCTAAACCCAAAGGTGTCCCGTTCCAGTGAAAAGAGCCCGAAAGATGCTTCTTGGGCAGCAAGGACTCTCCTGCATGAAGCAGGCAGGAGGGAAGGCTGCAGAGCAGAGGGCAGGATGGTTGGTACTGCACAATGGGGCAGCTTTTTAAAGCTCAGTTTTCTCTCTGTTTGCAGCCCCAAAGCAGAGGCCAACCTGGAACCTTTCGCTATGGGTGTCCTCAAGGCCAGCACAGGGTCTCCAGCAGCACTTGGGATGCCCTGGGCTGGGGAGGGAAGGTGGCTTGGAGGGGCTGCTGCTTACAGGGGAGAAGGCAGGGAGGAGGCAGGGCAGGACATAGCACTTCCCAACCTTGCCCCTCCACCATCACCCTCCTGCACACCCTTGGGAGCAGGACAGTGCAACACCAAAGGGTTCCTTTTTACCTCCCAGTCCCCAGAAAATTGCTCCTTCCACTATGTTCTTGCAGCCCTGCTCCTGGATGAAGTGTGCTTCAGTTTCTCTACTTGAACCAGCTTTCCCAAACCCTCCTGTTTCCACCCTCATCAGCTGCAGCACGGGTAGAGATTGGAGCAACACATGGAGGAGCCACGTTCACACCCCAAGCCTTCTCCTCCACCCTTTCCAGAACCTGCCCCAACAACTCCTATAACAGGGCTGGTTTCACCCACCAGCACTGGCAGCTAATCCCATGTGTATGGAATTA